AAAGGCTCTTTTCCTTTAAGAATGTGACGTACACTCCAAACTCTTTGAATTAGTTAGCTGTCCATCTCTGAAAACAAATGGGAGGCTTGCCCTTAGCTAGAGATTTCTAAACCAGGCAGCTTTGCCTTTAGAAATGTCTTGAATAGTTCAGTGGTTCTGCCCTTTTCCTGGCTCCAGGCCCAGGTCAGAATCTTGCCTGCGAGCTCTGGCTTGTGTCTTTTCTCAAGGCCGTCCTCGTAGGAGACCGCTCCGTTTAGCCCCCCTGCGTCTAGTCTCTTCTGAAATCTGTGGGATGTCCTCCTCTTAGATGTCCTGTATTTGGGGAATGCTTGTTATCACAATTAAACCATGTAGGTGAAGTGCATGGAAACGCACACATGCCGGCATCTGCTAGATTGCATGGTAGTTTTTTCTTTTCTCCCCCCCCCCCCCCACTACCTATTAACCAGTGCTTGTAATCCTGTCAGTGTGTGCCCTTTTAATCCAGTGGGTGACACTGTGATAGTTGTCCTTCCTCTTCCAGTCAGTTAAATGTTTTGGGTAAGCATATATGGACAATACCAATAGTATGGAAAAGTGTGTAATTTGTGACATTTCAGAATAGAGGTGTAAGTTGAATGTTTGGAGCCAAATCGTTTTGATTACAGTAAAATATAGTTATAATGGACTTCAAGGGACCTGGCAAAACAGTCCATTATCCAAAGTCCTGCTGTATGCTGTATGCTCAGAACACAACTACAGGACACCATTTACTCATGCCACATCCCAGCAGACACACTTTTGGTCTAACTTATTATATTGCATGTTTAACATTTGGTGTTGAAGTCTTTCTGCTTAAGAATTAAGACTACAGTGTTATTTATGATTGTTTTCACTCGTTTATGCTTTAATCCTTCCAACTACATTGACATCTGATGGCTTGTTCTGCTTTGTTCTCAGCCCATTATTCAATAAAATATCTCAGTAAAAAATACTGAGGACATGACCTTGCTGTCCTCAGAGGTACAGATACGGGCATGAGACTCATCTGTTCCTCTGAAATGCGCAAGATTTGATCTTTTCTGCTGTTAGCATTCAAATGGATTTTCAAAAGATTAACATTAACAGTATTTTGCTTAGCTGGTGCTGTAGCAAGTTCATCCAATGAAATTGAGTATCCAAGCAACAAAAGGGGTTAGGTTGAGTATGTTATGGGGTGTGGCTTTGTTACAATGACGCTTGTGGGGTGTGGGTTTGACCAGAACTACATTGCAAAAAAAACAACAACAAAAAAACGACACCAATAACCAGCTAACCTCTGAGCCACTTGCCAAGCTTGCCAGTGCAGATTAACGCAACAATGATACATTTTTTTTCCCTGGGGAAAATCTGTGGGTCAGACTTAATAGTGAATTATAAACGTGTCCCGAGCTGGTAATTTCAGACATTATACGCAGTGAATGCCCTGACGAAATCACTTATCCTCCACTACAGAAAATGGCTGATCACTTCAGTACTTGTCTTTTAAGTCTGGTGCAGCTAATTTTAATATTGATAATTTAAATTTTGGCCAAGATCCATTGGACCAGTGCCGATGTGGTAACTGTTATATTGTGCGTCTCTAAGGCTAACATTGCTTTTTACTTAGCTAGTGAGCTACCATAGAATCTTGACCAATGCTGGCAGAGTCATGGCTATCAAAATGAAAGACGTTTTTGGGCTTCAAAAGAGGGGTGTTTTCCTAAAGCATCACAGCTGAAAGATTCTTAACCTTTAGAGAGTGTTCCGTACTGCAAAATAGGGGCATGTTTCTCAAGCATCAGAACAAAGATGCTCACCAAAGTGAAGAGATCATCCGGTAGCACTTCCTTCATGAATTTTAATGTGCCTTTCCCTGCCATCCTACATTTTGCAAATTTGTATGCTTGCATTGCTATTTTGCTCATCTACCCACCGGCACATAAGCACAAGAACTTGCAACCCAGAACAGTATCTTTTAAGGAGGATTTTGCCTACAAAAATCAATTCACCAGTTCTGAAGCTATAGATTGATGCAGTTGAATTGCCACCTAATAATTAATCCATGATTATGCATCTTTATACTCTAATTTCAGAATGTCATTTCCATAGCACAGCCTGCATGGGGGTCACACTGTACAGCCATAAACCTGTAGATATTAGGGCTGTCACTAATGACGGTTTTTCTACTGCTTAATATATCGACTATTTCACCGATTGGTCATTTAGATTGATTTTCTGTATTTCATTGCAGGACTTTAAATAATGGAGGCTGACTTTTCGGCACTATTCGGACATTATTTTCGGCCACAATTTGATTATTAGCGAAAATATCTAAAATATTAATGAGATATGTATTGTGATGCCCAAAAGTTTGGTCTTTCTGAATTTGATGTACCTTTATGCTGATTTTATTTGATTAGCGAAGCAGGCCCATGCGACTGTTTTAGTAAGTCATGGAAGCAGTAAGTGCTGAAGTGGCGATGCAGTGGACAGCTCAGCAGCCATAACTTTTAAAAGAGAAGGTACTGTGGTTGAACAAGGTAAAAGACGGTAGTGTGGCAATACGTTTTGCAGATTAAAGTCCAACACATTATTGTTTGGTAAACAGTTTTCATTTTTATTTCAGTTCACAAATTGTCTTTGATTTTGTTTCAGTTTTGTCTTAAAATAACACTGGTCCCAACAAGCCCAAGTCACATGAACACACACGCTGGCACTGTCAGTCAGTGTGGATTAAGCCTAGATTTTAGCCAAAACATTTTCACAAACACTTATTCAATGGAGATTGTAAGGTAGCAAGCAGACAACTTTGTGGCTTTAATAATGTTTATTTAGCAGCTAGAAGGACAAAAGATATTTAACAGTTCTCCATTCTAATGGTAATTTAATAAGCATGAATAAACAACACTTACAGTGGTTTTACCTACTCTGGTGGTCAATCCTCCAGAATAGCACCTGTGTTTTCTCTTCAGGTGCTTGTGCATAATGCAAATGCCGCCTTGGTATGTCATTGAAATTTTGCACAGTGTACAAATGAACTAGTCCCATTATTATAGTGATATTAAAGGAAAATATTTGTTATAAAGAAGTGTTTTAGAAATCATAATGATAATTTTATTAAAAAAAAAGATGCATCGATTTTAAAATATTGACATCATCAACTACGTTGACTAATCACGGCAGCCCTAGTAGGTATAGAGCTTTACCATGAGGCCTCGCTGGTTGGCTGCCTTTGCATTGCCCCTGTAGTGTCATGTCCATGGCATCCTTGGTGCTTAATGCCTTAACGGGCTACAGGTGAGCTCCCCTGTACCATCACACAAAGAATAAGCTACCCTACTGGGTCATAGTCTCTGCCATTTTTCCTTGGTGAATTAAGCTGCCTTAACGGGCAGCAGGGAAAAATAGCTTTGTGCAAGTGTATGGCCTTAAGGAGCATGAGTGAATGGGGTCAGCAGGAGATTTCGGCCTTCGTTACACTCCTGTTTTTATTGTGTGCTGATCACTTCATAAGCTGGATGAGAGAGCTCCCGGGGCATTGAGGGATGTACCTATGTAGTCCGCCATTATGTCTGAAGCCAGGTTTTCTAATTAAGTACTTCTCTTTAGAACATGCGTTTTGAAATCCGTCCAAGCCTCTGGTTTGTTTGATTCCTCTGCTTTGAATCTGAAGCAACCATTTGCGGCAGTAAAGTCATTCAGCATATGTCATATTTGGAAACTGCTGCTTTTTCCATTTTGGCTTCCCCTTTGCTGCGGCTACATTTCAAACCATTCTTATTAATATGAGGATGTAGAAAATAACTTGATGAATGTGATCGGGGTTTTTGCTAGGCTTGAAGGTGCTGTCGTGAAGCTGATCAGAGCAACTCTGGATGGCAGTAAATGCCTTTTTCCAAAGTAATGGGAGCATCATTCCAGTACTGTGAATAGTACAATAATACTTAGGTGGTAGGGCTGCAACTATCGCTTGTTTATAATCAAGTACACAATTATTCATGTAATCAGAACAAGTATTTTAAGTGTGAGGGGAAAAAATGAAAAAACTATGATGCCACAAAAACCAATATTGCACAAATTTGCTCCAAATAAGATGTAATTCAATCCTATTTATTGCACACCTATGCTGTCCGCATGACAGTTTAGAATGTACAGAAGTTACACTGTCAATATTTATGTAAAGATATGGCAATACACACTGTTCCTCTTTGTAGCACAGTAATCTGTTGGCGCTAGCATGTCTCGCTGCTAATGATTAGGGCCCCCAGTTTATGGAGGAACTGTTGTTACATCCTGGTCTAGGGTCGGGGCATAAGCAGCGATCAGTAACACTGTATTCAGCAATTTTTTAAGATCCATGTTTTTGCCATACAAATGCTAGTGGATAGAATGAATTTTGAATGAGCAGTTTAGAGCCTTTCACCAAATGCTCTGGGTAAATTTTAATGTCGTTAAACCAAGCAGTGTACAGCAACATTTTAACAACACAATCTTAAGCTTTCTTTAACGTATGTAAATAGCCATCCCAGATCCTAGCCAGCTGATGTTTGCATTGTACAATATTCTTTTCTTAATCTCAAGTTGAAATGCTCCAAATTTTATAGTTTCTGCTGTTTTCTACCTCTCGTCTCTTCCCCATTTTCATTTTCCTCTTAGTGCTCCAGTAAATATTGTCTGTGCACTGCTGCAGTCTGTGCATAATATTTCTGTGGATCATAAAGTGAATAATCGAGAGAGAATTTGCCAAAAGGATTTTAATGAATCTAATTATTTAAAGTGTTCAAGTAATTGTTTCAGCTCTACTAAGTGGGGAGTTTGAGGCCAGCAAACCTTATACATGCACTGATTTTGGTTCTCTCATGGCACCATCTTCCTTTAAAGTGAAGTGAAGTCCCATGTAAAGATGCCCCCAGCTCACCTAGATCAGTCTCCCTCCCTGATCTCCCTATTTCTTTGAGCAAATGCCCCTAAACTGAATGCTATGTTCCCTCTCTGTGTAGGAGTTTGCAGCACTTACTAAGGAAGTGAACATGTGCAGAGAGCAGCTGCTGGAGCGGGAAGAGGAGATCTCTGAGCTGAAGGCTGAGAGGAACAACACGCGGGTGAGGATCGGACCCCTGAGCGGCAGTGTGCCACAGTGTGGCCAGCACCTGTGCTTGCCGGACCACAGCGTTGTGCACCCAGTCAGTGCATCTTCATTGCAGTCAGCACTTGTATGCTTAACAGGAAATGCCACAGGGAATCAAACGGGTGCTTTTCCCCTGCACCAAGTACTGTACTTTTGTTATGGTACTTTTGGTACTTTCTCTTTTCCATTGACTTCCAGTCAAGTACCAGTACTAAAAGTTACAGTATCAAAGGTGCCAAACCAGCTGGGGTACTTCTTTGGCACATTGAACTTGAAATGGCTTCTTTGTTGATGGGTTGTGCAAATAGCCTCTCTCTGATACACAATACAACTGCAGCTGAAAAAAGAAACTCAGAAAACAACGTTAATTAAATGAAGTAAAGAAAGTAATCTGGATGTGATCTGGATGGCATGACAAGAAATTTAAAGTATTTTGTTTCATATATCAGGATAGCATGCATATGTGTATATATAACGGCATGCTGTCCTAGCAATGTGCATTTTTTTTTTTTAAATATTGGGGGTATTTATAAAGCAAAAAGAACTTGATACATTTCTCAGAAGCCTCTCTAGGAGTGACTTAAAAAGCAAGAATGAAAATGATTATGATTGTCTCAGAGAATGCATGCCGTGCTAATGCAAAAGCAGCAGAGGTCAATTTTAAACTGATTTTTAAACGTATATTTGATAATCTATAAAAGGAATAGTGATTAAAAACGCAAAGCTAGCTAAGGTTTTATTAATATATATTTATTTTTACTATGACTTTGAGTAATTATGTTTCAGCAAAACTTAAACTCCCTGCACTATAATGTCCATACAGAATTGAAAATACGAAAAAGCTTGATCTTAATCTAACTTACTAGCAATGAAAGAATTGCATGTGCATAACATGCGATGTTGGTATTAATATCACACATTATCCAGCCCTGTAATATACCAGTCATTTTTTAAATTCAGTACAAAATACCTCACTTTGAGTCATTCGGCACTGGTCCCCGTTTTTACGCCAGTGGAAAACCAACACCTTGAAGTACTGTCCTTTCTGGTACTGTAATTTTTGGTGTTCTGTACCATCTAGATGTCCAGAAGAGTAAATTGTGTATGTCTATGTGTCTGTGCTCCTCCCTCCACACAGCTGCTGCTGGAGCACTTGGAGTGCCTGGTCTCCAGGCATGAGCGCTCCCTGCGGATGACCGTGGTGAAGAGGCAGGCTCAGTCTCCAGCTGGTGTGTCCAGTGAGGTGGAAGTGCTCAAGGCCCTTAAGTCTTTATTCGAGCACCACAAAGCGCTGGATGAGAAGGTAGCAGCTTGTCGTCCCCTTTGTGTGAAACCTTCCTTTGCCTTCACTGTGTAAGTCTAACAGCCAGAATGATGAACTTTCACTGTAATGATCATCAAAATGTGTGCTGTTAAATATGCTATTTCAGGTGGGTTATGTTGAGTGTATGTTGAGAGAGGTCCTCCGTAACCTTGGCTGACCAGTTTCTGGTTCTTGCAGCCTTTAGGGATTGCCCTCAAGGACTGGGCTTCTGTGTAGGTAGTGTAAGAAGGTCTCTGTTCGGTTTGCCCTGTTCAGGTGAGGGAGAGGCTGCGAGTTGCCCTAGAGCGGTGCAGCGCCTTGGAAGAGCAACTGACATCATCTAACAAGGAGGTAAATGTTTGTGCCCGAATGTTCTACAGCTGGTGTGGGCATGGAGTTCCCCAGAGGGACCAGTGTATCCTACAGGCCAGCAGTCATATTGGGTAGGATTCAGTGCCCTGGCCGGTTTACCCGCGGACTGTAACACCATGTCATTCAGAAACGTCACATTTGCTCAGCATCCTATATATTTTTTCTACATGGCTCTATTGATTGGGAAAGTCAGTTTATTAATTCTGCTATGACTGGAAATTTATCAGTGGTGGAAAAAAGTACTCAATTTTCATACTTAAGTAAAAGTTCAGATACCACACCATAATGTTACTCAAACAGCCATTCAGTAAAATACTACTTCGGTAAAAGTAAAACAAAAAATACCTGGTTTTAAAAGTACTTGCCTAAATAAAAAGTACTACACATTGAAATCAATAGATTTTACAAAAAGCAGCTTATTCTTTTAAATTGCCTCAGGACATGTTTTCATATAGCATTGTACTGTAAGTTACAGTGCAGCACAAGAACAAGGAAAACTCAAGTGCATGTTTTTATTCAGAAAAAGTGGTGGAAATTGCAGAATTTCCTGGTCAGATTAGTGGAATTATTCTGTAATAACATTATTAAAGCCAAATATTGATCTACGGGCCAGATTTAATAATGAATTGCATACATTTCAAGTGTTAGTACTTTGAAAGCAGTGGTGAATGAGCCGAATAAAACCCTTGTCCTTCACTATGGAAAATGGCTGATTATCCAGTGCAGTCATCACCATTACTTCAGTAATAGTACTACTGCTGTTACTTTTGAAATGAGTTTAAGTAAAGAACATCAATTTTGTCATGTGTACTGATATATTGTACATCTGCATGTTGTTTGTTCTGTCTTCATAAAGACACTATATAATGCAAAATGATAAAGAATCATCGCTCAATAATCGGCAGAGGAAATCTTGATACTGAGTGGAAATTGTGATACATATTTTACCCAGAACCGTGCAACCCTGCTTGGGTTTGCTGCTTTCAATAGTTTTTTTCACTCACAAATTTTGACGCTTTTAGAATGCCTATTTCTAGGTGGATATTAGCATTTGTCATGAACCATAACTGATATGCAGTGTTGAATCTGGATTCTTATTGATGTGGGCATGTGGAGTGTTCTGGCTCAGAACTATTAACCAGTGATTCTCGGTTGGGCTTCTGTTTCGTGGTAAAAACTCTTATTAAGCCTCTCTATTCAATACTGTCACTGGCTGCTCAGAGTTGACAAGGTTGTTTTTTTAAAAAAAAATTTTTATATATTTTTTCCTTATTGCAGTTGGCCTTTTTTCGAGAACAAAACAGCCAGAAGAAAGCAGTGATAGGCGGAGGGGTTGAAGTCAACCATGATGCCGAGAATGTTCCCAGCACGAACGGCAAGGTAAGCCTGCACTGCTTTGGATGGTGACTCACCCAGGAGAAACTTGGACTGCACTCACAATCCAAAGCCTTGGCCATCTAATTTCATCAACTGTGGATTTGTATCAGCCTGTGCAAGATGGTGCATTATTATTAAGGTAAGGAATATTTGGATTCCGCTACCGCCTGCCTGCCTGAAGTGCTGACTCTGGGGGGCCAGTCAATGACCCTAATTAATCAGCAGGGCATGAAGGTCTCACTGCAGATTGTCCTTCAGTCTCAGCTGTCAGCCTTGGTGTTCTCGAAAGAGCTCCAGTGTCGGCGACCCTTTGGCAGTGCAGGCTAAAATGCCAATTTGTAAATTTGGAGCTGCACTTTGTGATAGTGTTCCAGATCTGTCACATGTACACATTATTAATCATGATCTGTTTGCTGTACAAATCAGCCTTTCTGGATCTTCCATACAAGCAGAATGTTTACTTCTTAGTCACTGATTATCTTCTGTGATTTAATTTACTTTTGGGGTTGGTGGGGTTTGGTATTCGAACATGAGGGTTATTGTTTCACTTGCAGTAAAACTTTAGATATGCATGAGCTTCCGTGTTGATGGTTTTAATGGTTAAGTGCCTTGGGTAGTTGAAATGAGTGTTTAACAATGTGAGCTGCACTGATGCATGTGAATTGCCATCTAGTGGCTGGAATGTAATTTTGACTACAACATAAACGAAGGGCGGTTGTGGAACCTGGCAGAACAGAACATCTAGCTGTATAGCAAGCAGCTGGGATTGTCTCCCTGTCTGGATATTGCATACTTTTGAAGCTCAGCCACAAAATGGTTATGGATTTGGTTCATTCTGCAGAGGTCGTCAGATGGGTCTCTGAACCATGAGGAGGACCTCTCTAAGGTTGTGGAGCTGCAGGAGGTCATTGATCGGCAGAACAAAGACCTTGGGCAGATGAAGGAGCGCCTGTCAACACTCTCGAGCCGGGTGGCAGAACTGGAGGATGACTTGGACACTGCCCGCAAGGACCTCATCAAGTCAGAGGACATGAACACCAGACTGCAGAGAGACCTTCGGGAGGTGAGCGGAAGTGGGTGTGGTGGCTAAGGGGACAAGCGTGATGTGAATGTGTCTGAAGTGGGCGTCTGTGCCCAGCATGCTGTGTATGTAAGGGTCTGTTTTAAACATGCCCTTCCAGTCCATGGCGCAGAAGGAGGACATGGAGGAGAGAATCACAACTCTAGAGAAACGCTACCTTGCCGCTCAGCGTGAAGCTACATCTGTACATGACCTCAATGACAAACTGGAAAACGAAATTGCCAACAAGGAGTCCGTCTTTCGCCAGGTGAGCTCCATCTGTCCTGCCCCCCCCCCCCATCTCTTAGAATGTCTGGAATGTAGAAATTAACTTTTTTTTTTATATGAGAAACAGATTTTCAAGCATTCTGCCGCGTGTTTCCATTTCGTCTCATTTTAAGCCGTGGGTCTGTTCTGCCGTCTCTTGCTGGTGGAAAGAGTAGCCAGCAGAAAACTGGATGACAGCTTCCTTTGACGACAGGAAACTCCTGTGGTGCTTTGGCAGGGACTCTGTGTGTCCGAGCCCAGATCAGCGGTGCGAGCGGCAGGCCTGAATGGGATGCCTCAAAGCCCTGTTTGTTTTTTGAGATGCGCTCAAAATCACACGAGTCCCAGCCTCTGAATGGTGTCAGACTTCCTAGTCTTACTCGTGCTGAAAGGCTCATTGTGGGAAAAGAGGTTTTCAAATAGTAAAAAAGAATACAAATCCTTATTAGCTTTTTTTCATCCACATGAAATTAGAAGCAGAATAGCTTCCTACTGGTTAAATAGTTTGTGGAATGCAATTTGGAGATAGAAGGTGATTTAACAAACTGTCTCTCTTTTCCCCTCCAGTGTGTGTATATAATTTCGTATTTTTATTTAAATCAATTGCGCTAATGGCGATGTATATGGCATGGAGGGGTTGTGTGAAAAAACTGATTTATTCATGGTGTGTTCAGTTGCTGTAACAAAATGCTGTATGCCCCCCAACACACACACACACACACACACACACACAGATGTGATTTATCCAAAATCCCAGCGAGATGTGTATGTGTGGGGTTGCCCATGTGCGATACGGGTGCAGCTCACTCATGGCCTGTAACTTGGTTCTCCCTTTGCCAGTCAGAAGATAGGAACCGGCAGCTGCAGGAAAGGCTTGAGCTAGCAGAGCAGAAGCTGCAGCAGACCATAAGGAAGGCGGAGACCTTGCCAGAGGTGGAGGCGGAGCTGGCTCAGAGGGTGGCCGCGCTCTCGAAGGTCAGTCACGTGTCTCCCCAACTCCAGTTCTGTCTATTTGATATTTTTATCTTTTTTTCCTCATTTCACTGACCACAATAAGTGGTCAGAAGATGCACGGATGGGCTGATATGTTTCTTAAATGCAGATGCTTCTGATTGGCTCCAACTGTTGGTAATATGTTTTTAATTTCTAGAATTGCTAAAATTAGGGTTTTTTTCCTAAAATTTAACAAGTTCATTTGGTTTTGGGGTATATGTTTTTCCATGCATGTATATATCAGAATTTATATTCTAAAATGAAAAGTAAATTTGTATTTCTTCAATGTTCAGTATCACTCTTTAGGTAAAGTAATAAAAAAAATTACCACAGATTTTCATTAATATGTTAGGGGTGGGCAATCTTATCCGCAAAGGGCCGGTGTGTATGCGGGTTTTCGCTGCAACTCCCTAATTAGATTACGAATTAGAGGTTTGATTGGCTGAAGAGTCCTCACACCTGGGTTTGACCTACAGGTTTGTCCCAAAAACCTGCATACACACCAGCCCTTTGCGTGTAAGATTGCCCACCCCTGATTTATGTGTATCCAGAGTCATTGCTTAGGCCTTATTACTAGCTAAAGAGTAAGGTGCATGTCTATTAATACAAATTCTGCAACTGGGGGTATGGTGCAAGATATAGGTATGTATGTTTTTAGCAGTGACATGCCTAATGCATATGCTTTTTATACTCAATTTTTGCTTTCCTGTCCAGATGAGACTTTATGTAAATGCTGTAAAGTCCAGATCTGTTGACGTTGCCTGTTTTGATTACGTTTAGGCTGTGAAGGTGTGATTGACTGGCATTATGCTCAATGTTCTATCCTCTCTCCTATCAATTTTACAGTGGGGGGCAGGGGGGACTCACATTTTTAAAAACGAGTTATGTATATTCTCGTCTCAGTCAGTATGTCTCTCTCCTCTGGTGCTCCCCCCCCCCCCCATGTAACTGTAATAACTCTGTGGTGTTCCCTTCTCTCTGCGGTCAGGTCTGTACTCTATTTTCTACTAAACGGTGTCTCTGCCCTTCTCTCCATGGCTCTGCTGCACACTCTACTGTCTGTAGCCTCTCCAATCTGTGTGTGCTGACTCTGGCCTTAAGGAAGCTAAGTTGCAGAGGAAGGTAGAGCACAGCTCAAAGTGCCTCGCTTGCTTGTTGCCTGTCGCTCCTGCCCTCATTCCCTCCTCCTCCAGACATTTGCTAACTCATTTGCACAGAGGTTCAGGAAACAGCTGCTTGTATATTGGCCTCAGTATGATTATAATTATTTTATTAGTTATGGTGAATGGAAGCACCTCAGTTGTACCAGCCTTTCAGTCATCTTTCTTTATCCCCTCCATTTTGAAATGGGGGCTGTGAAAGAATGGAGCATTAGGATAACATGGAAATATGTCACCACTCAGAAGATGAAGTCATTGGGGGGAGGGGGGGACCTAAAGCCAAATGGACCTTCCTTTACCTCTGTCTCTTGTCCACTAATTCGGAGCCTTAGGCTGCTAACACCCTGCATCCTGCCAGGCTCTCCTCATCCCTCTCCAGGTCTGTTTACTGTGCCAGTGTGTGTCTGAATTCGATACCCTGCTTCCTGGCGCATGGTGCTTGTGGGCCAGCTCCGCCTCCCTCCGTCTGTTTGGCCGCCTGTCTGTGCGTCTATCTGTCTGTCTGTGTCGCTACATCTGTGTACGTGCAGGAAAATGTACGTTTTCACATATGTGTGTGGGTGCGAATGGAGGTCTGACTGCAGCCTGTCCCTGCAGGCTGAGGAGCGGCATGGAAACATCGAGGAGCGACTCAGGCAGATGGAGGCCCAGCTGGAGGAGAAGAACCAGGAATTGCTGAGGGTGAGGGTGTGTCCGTCAGTGTGTTCCCTGGAAGTCCATTTCGTGGTGCTTTCGGATGCCATGCAAGAAGTAGCTGTTCATTATGCAAATTAACTTTTTCCGTATGCGCACCTTTAAAACAATGCATTTTCATTTACGGAGCATAAAAGCTGTAGGCATGTTTTTAGCAACTGCATCGGTGTAGGCCACACAGAAGGGTTTTAAGAGCGTTACTGTGTGTTTTTCCTGGAGAGAGATTAAGGCCTTGACCCAAAATGCAATTGCACCTGCTGCAAGTGGTTCTTGACCATGTGTTTTTTAATGAGAGGCGTAAAACCAGCTGAAATGTTGCTTATTTCTCAGGCCCGTCAGAGAGAGAAGATGAATGAGGAGCACAACAAGCGCCTGTCTGAAACAGTGGACAGGCTGCTGTCGGAGTCTAATGAGAGGCTACAGCTCCATCTAAAGGAAAGAATGTCTGCTCTGGAAGACAAGGTGGGCTCATCCTGATATGCTGGGCTCCTGCTTTCATGGCGTTTTCACACTTTCACTGTAAACTGTATTTTGCATCTTGTCAGAATGCACTCATTCGAGATCTGGAGCATACAAAGAAGCTGATTGAAGAGGCTCACCGTGAGAAGGTTGGCGTTACTCCCTGCAAACACCCCCAGCCCACATTCATATTCATAATGCACAATAATTATGCCCTATTATAACGACTGTTGTATTCTGTTACACTTTTGCTGAGGGAAATGTAATATTGCTTACCAACATTTTCCTTGTTCATACTTTTTTCTTTTGTCTGTTGTATATGTGTTTGTATTTATAGCGCCTAACACTGTCTGGGCTTTAAAGCTGTCAAACAGAATTAAAAATAGAAATATGCATACATGCATACATAAAAATCTAAAACTGCTTTCAGGAGCAGCTTCTTATCGAGATAGAGACCATGAGAGCAGAGAATGAACAGGGACGCAGCCGGAGCAACTCCATGCTGCATCATGGGTAAGAGGCACATCAGCTGCTCTCACTTGCTGCGCTCTCCTGTATCGCCAGCCCATCCTTTAACTGCATTTGGTTCATGTTGCAGCCGCTCCCACCTGGTCAGCACCCCGGACTTCAGGTACCCGGTGTCTGCCTCCTCCATGATGGACAGCCACTCTGAGCACTATAGCGGTGCGCTGGTGCTGAGGCGGCCGCAGAAGGGCCGGGTAGCCGCTCTCCGGGATGAGCCCTCCAAGGTGAGCTGCTGAGTGATTCACCAGGGCTTTTTCTCAGATGGTCACTCTTTCAAAGTGTATAGGAGTAACTGATTAGTAAACGACACCAATTCTGAGTATAACCATGGCTCAAATGGTGGTGGTTTACCTGCAAAATTTTTGGTCCCCCCCCCCCCCACACACACACACACACACACACACACACACACACACATTTTTCTACTTGACTTCATGATCTGTCATTTGTTATTGTGACAAACATCTGAAATTTCCTAAAATATGGTGATATCTTCGGTCTCTCGTCCCCCTTACTTCCAGGTTTCTGGTTAATCCTCTTCAGGGCTATCAGAAATCTTTTATTACCCTGGACGAAATTGTTTAGCAGCTGCGTGCAAAAATGTAGCAGCCATGTGCCTCGTAACAGGAAGCCAGACAGTGTTGAATGTTGTTAAACATCAACAGGGTGTCTGCGGGGTTTTAAAAAGTATTAAAAGGTAGTAAATCACATAAGCAAAAAT